CAAACATGACCATGCCAAAGGCAGTGAAACGCCGAAAACGGCCTTTTACCCAGAAGCGATGTCACGGACCATCAGTGAGTGTTTTTATCCAGATGCAGTTTTCTCCATGCCAGTGGTCGCAAATTCGGGTGACGTGAGCCTTCCGGCTCCTCACCAGCGAGTCAACGCCATGCCCGGTCACTTATGTTCAGATTCCAAACATGAACCCAACTTGAAAGATGCCCATTCCGTCCATGCAGGCATTCATTTGTTGCTGGATCGCAAAGATTGGCATAAACATCCAGGCTGGGAAGAAGCCATAGCTAAAGAAGCAGGTGGTATCCTTGAAAATGGGACATGGAATTATGATGAAGTGATTTCTAGGGAAGACTTGTTGAAAAGAAAATCACCGGTTCACATACGGAGACTGATGACTATCCTTAGTGTAAAACACTGGGAAACTCCAAAACTTCGAAGGCTAAAAGCCAGAATTGTTTCCAGGGGTGATGACATCAGGGATCAGGATAATAACATAGCAGTTCTTCAAGAAGCCAAAGTAAATCCATCTGGACTCGCCGGCATAAATGCCAATTTGGCGTATGGCTGCATGAAGGGGAATTGCGCCACCCAAAGTGATGTAGTTCTCGCATACACTCAAAGTGTCCTTAACACTCAAGTTCCAACATGGGTTGAATTACCTATTGAGCTAGTCCCCAAGGAGTTCCGAGGGATAAAGAGGCCTTGCGGCCTTGCGTCCGTCTTTGGAAATCACTCTACGGCCATCCGGAAGCCGGATACCACTGGGATCAAAGGTTCAAACAGATCATGAGTGAAATGGGTGCTGTGCATTGTGCTGGCACATTTCAATCCACCTACCAAAGAGTCTCAGCTACTGTTGACTTTGTACGTAGATGGCATCTTGCTGAGCGGCCCCAGAGAAAATCATCAGTAATTCTGGGAAATGCTACAGAAGCATATTGAAATTGAAAATCCTACTCCGGTTGACAGAGTTTTGGGAAGACGTCACATCATCACAAGGGATGAACGTGGAGCATCAATGAAGCTTGACATGTCCGACTTCGCTGCAAACGCATGCACCGCTTACGAAGAGTTGAGTGGCTGTGTGTTGAAGAAGGCAACAACACCGTATCTTCCTGAAGGGTCGCTTGTTGATAGTGATTTTACAGTAAGAGGTGAAATGGCTCAAAATGCTTCCAAAGTATTGATGAAATCCTATGGAGGGCAAGATTGGCTAGACCCGGCTTAATGAAGGGGATATCCGACCTCACTAGGAAAATCACTACTTGGTCTCGCGCTGATGACAGACGTTTATATAGGTTCATGTCATACTTAAAGGGTACTTCAGACTACATGCTGGAAGGTCACATCCGTGATGACCCCTGCATTTGTCGCTGTACACTGATGCAGACCATGCCTCCGGAATAGAAGACGTAAAGTCAACATCCGGAAGGTTTCTGACGCTCGAAGGACCGGATTGGTTCTGGCCTCTGCGTGCCAAGGCGCAACTGCTAGGAGCACTTGTGAAGCCGAGATCATTTCTCTTGACTCAGGCGTGTTTGGTGAGGCCAGACCTTTTCGATTTTGTGTTGAATAGGCGCATCAGTTTGGTATGCCAACAAGACAATGCCTCAGTCATTCAAATGGTTCATGGGGGATATAGTGCGAAATTGAGACATCTCAAGAAGGTGCACAAGCTGAATTTGTCCGCTTTGTACGAATTGTTTAGTGATCCGCAAGTCACCCTGCAGTACATCAAGTCAGCTCTACAGATAGCAGATCTTTTCACAAAAGCATTGGAACCATGCAAATGGAACGCCGCATTGGAACTTTTGAACATTCAGCCTCCATGAATTCACCCTGCAAGGCTTAGACTCCATAGTCGAGCTCTGAAGCATAAGAAGGGGGAGGAGAATAAATTCAGGAGTTATCACCAATTTATAGCGGTCCCATTTTGGAGCCAGCATGTCTGCAAAGTTGTGTCACCAAGTGCCCACTTGGACTGTGACATGAACAGAATTCAAAATAGATCCATTTGGTGTGATAGCCTTTTCCTGGCTCCGCCAAATATGAGTGAGCAGTACAGACCTATGCATGCATACCTTAACCTGTTGAAAGAATTACATCATAAATATGATAGTTCGGGGAATCCAGTTTGCATGCACTGTGACATTTAAACATGTCCATCCAGCACAGCCAGCAGGTCCGGGTTGAATTAATCCGCTGACTTGGACTTTGGCTCAAGTGTGCCCATCGCAAAAAGGCTGCGACCGCGCTGCCATAACACCTCTTGTTTTCTTGGGGACGGGCATACAACAGATTTTTCTCGCTTATGTATGTATGGGCTGTATGTGATGTATGTTTTGTTTGTTATGTATGTTATGCATGTAATGCATGTAATTTATGTTTTGTATATAATGTATGTTGTGTTATGTTATGTATGTTTTGTTTTGTGTATGTAATGTATGTGATTTATGTTTTGTATTTAATGTATGTTTTGTTTTGTTGTGTATGTAATGTATGTGATTTATGTTTTGTATTTAATGTATGTTATGTTATGTTATGTATGGTTTGTATGTATGTTATGTATGTATGTTATGTATGTATGTTATGTATGTATGTTATGTATGTATGTCATGTATGTATGTTATGTATGTAATGTAATGTAATGTAATGTAATGTAATGTAATGTAATGTAATGTAATGTAATGTAATGTAATGTAATGTAATGTAATGTAATGTAATGTAATGTAATGTGTGTCTGTATGTATGTATGTATGTTATGTTATGTTATGTTATGTTATGTTATGTATGTATGTATGTATGTAATGTATGTAATGAATGTAATGTAATGTAACGTAACGTAATGTAGTGTAGTGTAGTGTAATGTATGTAATGTATGCAATGTATGCAATGAATGTAATGTATGTAATGTATGTAATGTTATGTAATGTATGTAGTGTATGTAATGTATGTGGCGAATGTAGTGTACGTAATGCATGTAATGAATGTAATGAATGTAATGTATGCAATGCATGTAATGTATGTAATGTATGCAATGTATGTAATGAATGTAATGTATGTAATGTAATGTAATGTATGTACTGTATATAATGTATGTACTGTATTCAATGTATGTAATGTATGTAATTTATGTAATGCATGTAATTCATGTAATGTATGTAATGTATGTAATGTATGTAATGTATGTAATGTGTGTATGGTGTGTATGGTATGTATGGTATGTATGGTACGTATGGTAATGTAATTTTATGCAATGATATGTAATGGTTTGTAATGGTATGTAATGGTATGTATTTTTCTATGGAATGTAATGTAATGTAATGTAATGTATGTATATGTATGTAATGTTTTGTAATGTATGTACGTAGTGTATGTAGTGTATGTAATGTATGTAATGTATGTAATGTATGTAATGTATGAAATGTATGTAATGCATGTAATGTACGTAATGTTTTGGAATGTCAAGGAATGTTATGTAATGTTTTGTAATGTAGCGTTATTTAATGTAATGTAATGTAACGTAATGAAATGTAATGTAACCTAATGAATGTAATGTAATGAATGTAATGTATGTAATGTATGTAATGTTGTAATGAATTTAATGTAATGTAATGTATTGTAATGTAATGTAATGTAATGCATGTAATGCATGTAATGTAATGTATGTAATGTATGCAATGTATGTAATGTATGTAACGTATGATGAATGTAATGTATGTAGTGCATGAAACGTATGAAATGTATGTAGTGTATGTAATGTATGTGATGTATTGTAATTGTATTGTATTGTATTGTAGTGTAGTGTAGTGTAATGTAATGTAACGTAATGTAATGTAATGTATGCAACCTATGTAATATATGTAACTTATGTAATGTATGTAATGTATGTAAAGTATGGAATCTACGCAATGTATGGAATGTATGTATGTGTGTATGTGCGTATGTGTGTTTGTATGTATGTATGCATGTGTGTATGTATGTATGTATGTATGTATGAATGAATGAATGAATGAATGAATGAATTAATGTATGTATGTGTGTATGTATGTATGTAATGTATGCATGGTATGTATGGTATGTATGGTATGTATGGTTTGTATGGTAATGTAATGTTTTGCAATGGTATGTAGTGGATTGTAATGTTATGTAATGGTATGATTTTTTTTATGGAATGTAATGTAATGTAACGTAATGTACGTAATGTATGTGTGTATGTGTGTCTGTATGTATGTATGTATGCATGCATGCATGCATGTATGTATGTATGTGTGTATGTGTGTGTATGTATGTATGCATGCATGCATGCATGCATGCATGCATGCATGATGTATGTCTGTCTGTCTGTCTGTCTGTCTGTATGTATGTATGTATGTCCTTCTGCCTGTATGTATGTATGTATGTATGCATGCATGTATTTATGTATGTATGTACTTACATATTTATATATATACATATGTATTATATATGTATACACCTACCCATACACACATGTACAGTTGTTTACACGTGTTGGACAGCTACATGCAACACTATAGTTTCGAGTAGGTATTATCCAATCCAAGGCATATTTATCCCTTGACGATTGTGTTACGTAATAGACCCAGGTCAGCAAACGTGCTGGTGCATTGAATTTGATTGGATTGCTCAGTTGTAGCGCGATGTCAATGAAGATAACAAGCACCAGCATCACCAGAGCCAACACAATGATTTTGCTTGGTCATGTGGGTTCTTGGGAGAAAGAGGGTTGTGGGCAGAAGCTTCAAACTCAACGACTCTTAAACCTGACCCTGAAACAGGTGTGACAGGTACGAAGCCAAGACAACTGACTAAGGTGTTTGCTGGAGAAGTCAGATACTGTTTGAAGATTATGGCGTGTTGCAACCACAGAAGGTGTCGGGGGCAGAAAGGTGTCGGGGGCAGACATGAAATTGTAGGTTGATTTTGCTTTATCGCCATCGCTGGATAGACGTCATCAGCACGTCCTACATATAAAGGACTGAAGCCAGGGCTTTGGTGCATGTGCTCAAGTTGATTGAAGGATCAATTCCCGGGGTCGGATTGGGCAGCATGCCATTGTCTATTCTTCCAGCGCCTTGCACTCTAAGTGCACTTGTACAGTTTGGACATCCTGCAGCGCAATATATTCGCAAGGCAAGGTAGTCGACGTTTCGCCAAAGTTTGCACTTCCTAAATATGCTGCATGCTAGACAAGCAGAGCACCAGTTTCTTCTATCCTTCCGATTTTGCCGATAAATGTTGCGGAGGTCAGAAGCGGAGAGGAACTCACCAATCTGGACTATGTCTTATTTACCACCTATTTCGTTGGTCTCTAAGAGAACGAAAGAGGCCAAAGATGGCAAAAGAGCGGGGACACAATAGACTTTGCAATTTGGAAATAAGGTGATCTGTGCAATTTGGATGTTCCTCGAGTCGATCATTCTTTGGGCATTGGTCGAGTACTGCCCATTGTTCTTAGAGCCTCGACCGCATCAGCTGTCAATACATGTTCCTCCTTATATCTTCTTACATCTCACCAGAGGATCTGTGTTCAAAGTCAGATAACCTTTTGCATAATCTCTGCACAATCCCTGCAAAGGAAGCGAAGATGCTGTTTTTTTGGTGGCTAGCGTGTTTGCCTCAGTTTGCCTCAGTACTGAGATGCCCTCATGGAATCCTATCGGTCTTATCGCATGGGTTCAATTCTGTGCGTAAGGTGCCCAGAGTACAAAGGGGCAGTCTATCTGTGGCTAGAGTCCCAGACATTCCCAGACCACCAAAGGGATGTTGGAAGCTGCACAGGGCTCAAGAAGGCAGTTGACCATGCTGGGTCCAGTGCAAGGTATGGCCACATTAAGCCGCTGCACAAAATCTTGGACGAAAAATACTACAACACCTTGATGACGGCAGTGCAGAAGGCCTCGCTTAGCTCTGATTTAAAGGTTTCCTGTGACATTTCACTTCGAAAAAATGTACCGTTCTGTTGGTGTGCTTAAAAGGGCAGTGGTCTTGCAATGTGAAGAACTTGAAGTTTTGGGGTTGACACGAGGGTCGAGTCCTGGGCTGGGCGATGTTGGTGGGATATATAAATCTATTCAACCCAGCATGGATGTTGCTGTGAAGAATATTTAGGAAGTGAACTCTTCAAGAGCGTGGTCGCTTCCCAACTGTAGATCACACCACACTGGTGAAGACCGGAGTTGAGTTGGGGGTCATTCATTATAGTTCATCTCGGATCCCGCAAAAGGATCATCTTCTCTAGCTCGTGACCTGGGCAAGGAGCCTGTTTTGAGAGTGTTATCCACCATCTTGGCATATGCATGTGATGGGACTAAGTTGAGCTTAGTTTTCGTGTTGTGGCTCGTAGTTCCACTCTACTTCTATGTTCACTTCTGCGGATCTTGCAGCAGCGTTCTTCAATATGCATCTCTTCAAACCAGTATCTAAAAGAACGTTCAAATGTCATCAAAAAGCAAAGTGTTTCCTTTTTTATTTGTGTTTGGATGGCCAGATCGAAGGCAAAATCAGCAAGGTGACCTGTATTTTTTTGTTGTTCAATCTTTTTACGAAAGCCAGCCGGACAAGCTGGCTAGTTCTTTTTTTTGCGAACGTAGTGAGAGATTAGGGGTTTGAGGGAAGGTGTTGCGGTACGGGCCCATTTTTCCAGCCTCAGTTGGTGTTCAGGGTGTCTATGGGGAGTGCTTTGCAGGGTAATGTACCAGGTCGCAACTGGGTGACGGTGGGGTATATTGGTTAAATAGGTAGACAAACACTAGGGCTAAATAAGTAGACAAATAGATCAATAGATCAATAGATAGGCAGAGAATAGATGGATGGAGAGTAGACCAAGAGAGGGAATTTACCGATACCTGGATGATAGCTAGATAGAGAGGTATAAAGGGATAGCTAGATAAACAGATAGGTAGACCGCTGGAAATAGATGGATGGATATATAGATAGATTGATTTATGGATGGATAGATAGATAGATGGCGAGTAGGCAGATAGATAGATAGATAGCTAGCTAGATAGATAGATAGGTAGGTAGGTAGATAGATAGATAGGTGGAGACTAGATCGAGAGAGGAAGTTTATAGATAGCTAGATAGATAGGTAGATAGATAGATAGACAGATAGATAGATAGACAGATAGCTAAATAGCTAGATAGCTAGATAGCTAGATAGCTAGATAGCTATATAGATAGCTAGATAGCTTGATAGCTTGATAGCTAGATGACTAGATAGAGAGACAGGGAGGTAAATAGAAAGATTGACAGATGGAACGATTGCGATGGATGACTGGTTGGATTACATGGGTGGATGGATGGATAGATCGAGCATAGCTACATAGATGCAGAGATGGGGGCATGGAGAAAGAGAGAGAGAGAGAGTGAGTGAGTGAGTGAGTGAGTGAGTGAGTGAGAGTTAGGTTGATACATGGACGGATTGACTGATGGCTGCACAGATAGGTTGATAGATAGATAGATGGATGGATGGATGGATAGATAGATAGATAGATAGATAGATAGATGGACAGGGGTCAAAGAACTTTGTTGGCAGCAAACTTCAATGACAAGCTGACATAGAGCTATGGCTATGCCGTTCCTTCTGCTTGGGAGACTGTGTTTTGCGCTGGCATTTGGTAGTTATGCTTGCAGACTTTGAGTCGGAGAAGGGACAGTAGAGACGGGCGGCTACTATCCAGGCTGCGCTTTAAGAGACTGCGGCAAATGCGATGTGGTTTGCTGAACGTGGACGGTCACGTCATCTGTTTTTGGCTACAAGCGGATGACAGCTGGAGAGCTAGATGTGAGATGGAGACATGGACAAGTGGATAAAGGCGTTGCATATGGTGAGAACAACGAACACGACAGATGTACTGCTAAGGAGAAGCGGCAGAATCAAAGCCAGCCTTGAAGAACGCATGCTTAACACATTTCATATTTTGCCAAGAAAAAGGCTACAGATGCAATGATAAGCAGATGCTGCAGTCTCACAGAACTGTAACAGAGCAGGACCTTTCCTTTTGGCCTTTGGCAGCTCTGCTGCGGAATAGTGTCAATGTCACATGCGATATCTTTTGCATACCGTGGACCGTCACGTCATCTGTTTCTAACGATGCACGTTGATACAACTGGGATCATCTGGGATGGTGGAAAAATAAATGGGCCGTGGCAGATACTTTCGCGAAGTACAAAACGCTGTCATCGTGCAGCGTACCAATGGATATGGAAGCAGATACCAAGAACAAAATCTAGAGTCTGCATGTTTAGGTCACGGTTATGTTGAGCCGTGTCAGGCCTATGTGGAACCTCTGTTAGGCTTGTGTTGGTCCATGTTGGGCTCTTAGACGCCATGTTGGGGCCATATTCGTGCCATGTTGAGCTTATGTTAAGCCAAGAACGGCGTGGTCCTTTTAAGCCTTTACCCGGCCCAAAAGGAACACGTCGTTTGTGGATCATGTCGGGATCATGTTGGGCGTATATGGAGCCTATGTTGGGCCTATGTTGATCCATGTTAGGCCCTTGGAGTCAATGTTGGGGCCATATTCGAGCCATGTTGAACTTATGTGAAGCCAGGAACCGCGTGTTCCTTTTAAGCCTTTACCCGGCCCAAAAGGAACACGTCGTTTTTGGATCATGTCGGGACCATGTTGGGCGTATATGGAGCCTATGTTGGGCCTATGTTGATCGATGTTAGGCTCTTGGAAGGATGTTGGGGCCATATTCGAGCCATGTTGAGCTTATGTTAAGCCAAGAACGGCGTGTTCTTTTTAAGAACTCCAATTTTGAAGGTGCTGGAAATTTGCGGCGGTAGGGTATCGATTCCCCCTCGGTCTGGGTTTTCGTGGTTGAGCTAAGTAGCCAGTCAGAGAAATCGATAGAGCGAATTATTTTGCTTAAGAGACTAGAGATACGTAGCTGACCAACAGAGTTTTAGGAAGGCAACCGCTGGAACACGGGCAGTCGTGATGCTTGCGGGCTTGCTGCAACTGGAGAACTCCAATTTTGAAGGTGCTCTGACTCTGCCCAGGAAGTTTAATGCTCTCAGTCGTGATGCTTACGGGCTTGCCCCAACAGAAGAACTCCAGCTTTGAAGGTGTTACGTGTTACGCGCAGGAAGTTTGCTGCTAGGGCATCGGTTCCCCCTCAGTCCAGCTTCTAGCCAGTGAAACAAATAGATGGAGAAAAATATATTGCTCGAGATACTGAAGATACGTAAGCCACCAACAGAGTTTCAGGATGCCTGTTTCAAAAATTTTTGTGCAGTTAGGGCTACGCTACAACTGGAGGATTTCAATGTTAAAGGTCTTACACGCGGGCAATTTGCTCTGTGCAGCAGTTTTCATTATCAGAGCTGGTTTTCGTTCTCCCTTCTCAAGTCTGCCCAATCGAGTTTTGGTGGCCGGGGGGAAAACCAAAACCATCCAAACACAACAAAAAGATTTTAGAAAAAAACACATCGATTCTTAATTTCCTGCGTTTTTTTTTCGGTTGAGTTACTGGTTCTTCTAGCCTCATTGGAGTTCGATCTGATCCTTGCTGCTCAATGCAAAGCAATGCAAAACACCCCCAATGAGCAGGGTACAGTAGAGGGTCGATCCCAAACAGTTCCGGCTACGCCGGCTTCCCTGCGATCGTCTACACCCATGGAGTAGTCTACATTCCTCCCATTGGTGCTGATCGGTAAGCAGCCAATGTTGCAGTCAACACCCTCAGCAGTCGCATGGGAGAACATTACCAAGCTGTTCTTGAAGGATCATCTAGATCCCATCGCAAAATTACTGTGAGAACCAAATGCTTTACTTCAAGCATTGAATACTCCAGAAATTTTCTACTCCAGATGTTAGCAAACTTACGGCGCAGGAACCCATCAAGACTGTCGCCAATGCCTGATGAGAAAGTGAGACAAAATCTGGTTTTGGTATTGACTTGACTTTGTCTTGTTCGACATTTGCTCACTCCCGTGGCTGAGCATAGACCAGGTTATTAGTTTCATTTTCTAGAAATCAAAAGAGACGTCGTAGTCGTAGGACTGAACTTGATGGATCCAAAGTTCTCACGGTTGAAAGTGTCAGTCCTTAATTTATCTTAATTCATCTTAATTAATTTGAATTCATCTGAATTCATCTTAATTCCAAGACTTCTAGTTGTCGTTGCACTTGGTGGTGGCGTAGAGGGTTCCAAAGTTGCCGCATTCAGAAAGCTGATACGACACTAAAATGCCAACAGTTCTAGTTTGGATCGCGTCCTTTGAAACTGGGATTTTGGCAAGTTGTCATTTGCGATAGAGAGGACTAGGCGAGAGGCATACGACAACACCACAGGTTCTACAGCAAGAAATGTTCTATCTGTGGCACTATCCATATCAAGTGCCCCCTTTCAGACTTGGGAGGCTTCGTTGCCTGAAGTGCCCGCCGCGGACACCTCGAATGCAGAGGTCAGTGATAAGGAAAAGGCGTGGTTCTTTCAGTTCTATGTCACTGGAGTCCACTGACAAGAATGAACGACTTCAACTGATGCTCAAATGAAGCACAGCGGCAAGCGTTGTGTCGTTTTGAAATAACTAAGTGCTGCTTGAATTGAGCTTAATTACATAATAATTACATAATAATTACATATTGTGTTACTTTCAAATATGTCCTCATATGCTTTGGTGTTTGCCAAGGAGTTGCTGTCCAAGTTTCTAATTCATGAATCCATGAAAGTCTATTCCTTTCATAAGGGTCTAGGTCAGTCTAGGTAAGGCAATGTAAGGCAATAGACATTCTAAAGCCTGAATCCACCACTGCCTTAGTTCTGTGCTTATGATGTTCAAATTGTTCAAGCGGTTTCTCCATTGCAGTAAGTCCTCATCAGATTTCTGAACTGTGTAAAATGCGAATAGCGCAGGCGATTCGGGATATGCTGGAAAAGAAAGGCTCATGAGGAAAGCTGAGAATGCGCTTAGTATGCGAAAATAATGTTTCACCACCTAGCAACAACTCAGCTGTGTAGCGAAATTCTGGCTGAGTCTTTGACTGGACAGTGCAGCCGAATGCAGCTAGATCCGCTGACACAGCGGCGTGGCTCGATTGTGCAGTTGAGCCATGTTGAGCCCCAGGGCTTTGATCGTGGACACATGGACAGAGAAGTGAGGAAACTGCGTGTCCTATGGGTCTTGCCGATCTTGCTGTTAAGCTGCGACTTATTTGGTTTGGGATATTGGAGAGATGTGTTCTGGGCACACTTAAGAGCTCTGAGAGCTTGCAGATGAGGTAGCTGAAACTAGCAGTGAAACCACAGGCAACCATCGCATCTCTTTTGTCACCCTTTCCCTCACATGCAACAGCATTGCTTTCGCTTTTAGCAAATACATTCGTTCTGGACTGGCTCAAAAGTCTCCACAACAATGCTCAACAAAGTTTGGTGCAAGAAGCACTCGGTTTCTTGAAGTCGATAGCATTCATTTGAAAAAGCGAGTTTGGGTGCAAGTCAGATTCCTATTGTAATACATACAGGTAAGCATCAGTAAGCATGTAACTGCGAGTTACTCTGGGACGCTAGATCTTGTGTGTAGGCAGCAACATAGGTGATGATGTGATGAGCTGTAGGTGCAATGGGCTCTGCGCAGAGCACCGAACCGCCTGTGTACCAAGCTGAATGTTGGGCAATTCTGGTTGATTTGCCTTTGCATCACTTGAGGCCACAGACAAAAAAGGGGTTCGGCTGTTGGGCTGTTTGGCCGTTGGGCCTGGTTTGGCAATGTTTCTTCAGGGACTTCTCAGGTTTTGTCATGTGATTGGTGCGGTGCGAATCCTTTAGCTGGAAGAGTTGAGAGGAAAGCATCAACATGAACGGATTTCAACCGTTCGACTCGTGCATGACTGGTGGACTCGGGGCTCGGGTAGGACTGTGTTCACCTATCCCATAAGGTCAGCTGCCGAAATGGTGGCTGCATCTAGGCTGTTGCTAAGCGCATCTCGGCGCCCGGCCTTCAGAGTGCCGTGAAATCCGTGAAAGATTTCAGAGCGAGAAAGGTGACACAATTTGTGACACAATGGACATCAATGGACTGAATGATACTGAATGATATTGAATGATATTGAATGATACTGAATGATACTGAATGATACTGAATGATATTGAGTGACTTTCATAGCCACTTGAATGATTCGGTATGCATCGGTTGTCCTGCATCTGTGGGATTTGAATCATCTTTCCGGAAGTGTTTTGTTTTGTAGGGTTTTAGGGATGCTCTTCGCATGTATTGGGCATCTGTTGGGGGTTGGATGTATGTGAGTGGTGGTCACTGGAGCAAAGGCAAAAGTACTGCCCACCAACGCTTTATGAGCCTCAATATGTGCAAATCTGTATGTATCAAAATCGATGTTTGATGTATGCATGTGTGTATGCATACATACGTATGTATGGTACTGCATTGAACACACACTCACAGATGCTAGCTGCCTCTCTTCATTTACTGTCTCATACCATCTTGCCTCTCTTCCAAACATTTTCCAATGTGAACATTCATGTATTGTTTGATTCATCTGATTCTTTTCACAGTATTCGCATTAATTGCCATATTTCCTTCAGCAATTCCAATCTCGGAAAAGTCTAATAAGAAAAAACAAAATGCCAAAAGCAGCGAAACAAAACGGCAATCCAGGAAGGGGCCAGCTTTACCGGGAAAACCAGATTCACCTGTGATAGATTTGTTCTCTTGGACAGGCCTAGGTCCTGTTTCCAGGTTTTTCGTTTTTGTCTTGATTTTGGCAATGGCTATTATGGTTGGATTGCAACTCCCGGCATATCCATATTGACCTGGCACTTGTAGATTTACATGCTCTCAAACGGAAAACCGGTATCCTTCCTTCCTTGTCCGAATGGCCGAGGCTGTGGTGCACCCCCTTTTAAAGGAAGGTTGTACGGTTGTACTTCTTCCATCGAATACTATTCTTCTTGCAGGAAAACTGTGCAAGAAAACTGCACTGCTTCAAAGCACAACTGCATCTGCGAGAGGACTCTTGTATACATGTTTCAAACTTTGTTGGTACGTGACCGGGAAGACAGCTCCTTTCAAGAAACATAATATATCCTTCAAGATGTTTCTATTTCCACATCTATGCCAGACACACTGCATAGTCTGCTAGAATGTTGGTGCATTATTAGAAGACGGCACTTCTTGCAACGACTCAAGTATTTGTGAAATGAACACTAATAACTAAGGACCGATGATTAATTATGTAAACGAGGTGTGCACTTCTTTCAGACACTATTCCTTTCAAAGAATCCAGCCATTTGACTAATATTGCACATGGTTTGTTAATATTGTATTTTTTTGTTCCGGAGCTACCATGGCAACAAATTAACATAGCATAGAGGAGGTTTTGAAATAAATATTGAGTTCTCCAAGTGCACGTTGCATATCTTGTAGAAATAGTGCCTCGTTAAACGGATTATTTCACGTTTCAGACAGGAATCTGGTCTTTGCAGTGAATTACGGTTCTTAAACAAAGCCAAACTTCTTTAAGAGAGTACTACATCTTTCCAAGGGAAACTGCATGTACTCTGTACCAAAGACACACTGCATAGTCTGTAAGAATATGTCTTTAGGACACACATGCATTTTTCATGGGATACCTTGCATCTTCCAGCTGGAAATAGGTTCTTATGAGGAAAACAGAACTTCTTTGAACGGGTGACGATATCTTTCATTTTTGTTCAAAGTATGCAGGATATGGATAGGAATACAGACATACGGTTTCTTTAAAGGTGTTGGGAAGGAGCTGAAGTAGCTGTACCTAATGGTAGAAGAATAGGTTCCAACAAGCGATAATTTAGCATCAGAAGGGGAGTCGCAGCTTCTTGAAATTAGAAGACTTGGAGGCTAGTGAACTCATACATATCGCCTAATGGTTTGAGAAAAACACCTTTGACAGTTTGTTTCATGCAAAGTTGTGGTTGTGGAAGACTACTTGCAAGATGGTTTGAAATTGATACATGTATGGGTAGTGCCGAGCACACAACGATACAATGCGTAAAGTCAAGGACTTAACGGTGCCAGTTTGTTTTGCGGGCCATGAGCTGTACATACACATATAATATATGTATATACACATTATATATACATATACAATAAATATATATAGTTATATATATACACACTATATATATATTTATATATATATACACTATATATATGTGCATACATTATATGTACTATATATATATGTATGTACATACTATATATATATGTACATGCATTATATACATTATAGATATATATACATTTTTTATATGTGTTATAGACACATTATATTTATATATATATATACACATTGTATATATATACATATATACATTATATATATACATTATGTATATACATTATATATATATACATTATATACATACACATTATATATTTATATATACAAACATTATATATATATATATACACAATGTATATATATATATATCTATCTACATTAAATATACATTACATATACATTCTATATACATTATATATACATTAAATATACATTATATATATATATATTAAATATACATTAAATATACGGTGTATATATATATATACATTGTATATTTTACATATACATTATATATTTGCCTGATCACGGGATTTGACTGCGAGCTGGTGACCAAGAAAAATGTACTGAGGCTGTAATGCAGATGTTGTGAAGCAGGCCCAGACGGCCACACGCACTACCACAATGGTGTGTCTGGCTTCAGTCAAACAAGAACGCTGTAAGCCTTGGAAGATCTGCATTCGCAGGCCCTGGCGGCAAGAGCCAACCCAAATGTTAGGACCTTGAACTGATCAGCAGCAGTCCTGAATGTTTGCCATTCTCTCAGTTGTGTCCATGCACGTTTGCAAGTAGGAGTGATCATTCTGGCCGGCCTGCGCTGAGCTTTGCGGCACAGTGTGTTTGCGCCTTTGTTCTTTCATGATGATGGCAATATTCATTTCAGAAGCAGTGTTTTCAACACAAGCTCAGCTCCATGCACCTCTGAGGCTGATACGACGGTTCCACTTCAACATTTGCTAGCAGCAAGGGCGCATTTGGATGCTGCTGTCTCATTCTAAGCTATTACAGTAGGGTTATAATGTGCTTGCGCAGCTAACGTTCAGACCTTTTATGCATTTTGAATACTTGTTTAGGCTGAAGATGGCCGAACCGCCTTGCACATTGCTATTGTCAATGCCTTAGTGCAGAAGGCGTCCACTAAGAACATTTGGAAGTCACAATGCCAGATGTTTGTGCAGCTGTTGTTTCGCCGGCATCTCTTGACCGCGAGAAAGAAGACGCTTGAATCATCGTGAATCATCAGACCTGGATCAGCGCATTGAGAGCTACTTGTACTCAACAGACAGGTGGGATCAGCAGGAATGGACAAACGGTCTTGAGCCTGTCAGCTTGCTGGTTGGTAAAAGCATGCCAGCAAAGTCCAGATGGTTTGCTTGACCAAAATGGTTTCTGAAAAATGGTTTCCGCATGGTTCCGCCATTTTGGCTGAACTTGCCTTTTCATCTTTGTGATTGACGTTCTGACATCCCCATGGCAATTTCCACTCTAGAACTGGTGAACCTGTGCATAGTTTAAACGAAATTCTTAATGTATTGGAATTTTAAAATTGATATCAGGCTAGTCATTTTATTGTTGGGGGGTTGGGCTAAGCATTTTTGATGATTTTTAACATGTTAAAATTCCATTCTCATTTTATTGCAAAAAAATGTTTGCTTGGAGCATTTTATTGCAGAATGGAACCAGTGTTTTTCCAGGATCTTTTTATATCGATTTTATTGGGCATGTCATTTTAGATCGGCGAATTTTAAGGAATTTGAAGGAACTCTAAGGAATTTAAAGGAATTTTAAAGGAATTATATATAAGGCATATTAAGGAATTTTAAAGGAATTCTAAGGAAATGTAAGGCATTTAGAGAGTTTTAAGGAATTTTAAGGAACCTTAGAGGAATTTTAAGGAATTTAAAGGAATTTGACGGAATTTGAAGGAATTCGGAGGATTTTTAAGGATCTTTAATGTTTTTAATTTTTAAAGGATATTTAAGGATTTTTAAGGAGTTTTTTGGAATTTTAAGGAATTTAAAGGATTTTTAAGGAATTTTAAGGAATT